TGGGACCCCAAGCCTCCCCCCCCCCCCCCCTCCCGAAAGTTGATAGTTTGTAAGAGAGCAGTGAAGTGGTGGGACGAAGAAATCAAGCAAGCAATTCGAGTACGTAGAGAGTCACACGCAAAATATGCGGCAGGGAAAACAGATGCAGGATGGAAGGAGTATGTTGAAAGTAGAAAGAGGGTGAAGGAGTTGGTCGTGAAGAAGAAGAAAGGGTTGTGGGAGGAAGTAGTCCAAAAGACTAACGAAGATTTTGAGGGGGGGATGAAGCAAATGTGGGTAGGAATTCAAGGGATAGTGGGCAACAAAAGACGGGGAGACACGGAAATAACGACACTAAGATCTGCCGAGGGTAAGATGGTAAGCAGTTCTAAAGGAAAGAGGGAAGTACTAGTAGAGCACTACCGCAAACTTGGGACACCCACCACCAACGACAACTTCGACTCGGAGTTTGAGAAGGAAATCAACTCGTGGGCAGAGGAAAACGTTGAAAGATCTCAGAGGGAACGTAGTGATGTAGACGGGTTGCAGGGAGAGTTCACACGAGAAGAGGTAGAGGACTGCGTAGCGAAACTCAAGAATAGAAAAGCGGCAGGGGCTGATGGAATTGTGAACGAGCTTTTGAAACAGGGGGGGGAGGGGATCATTAACATGTTGGTCCGGATATTCAACTGGATATGGAAACACGAGTACGCGCCGAAGAGATGGAGAGAAGGAGTAGTCGTGAACCTGTTCAAAAAGGGGGATAAAGCTGACCCGGGGAATTATAGAGGGATAACCCTGTTGAGCACAGTGGGGAAACTGTTTGGCAAGATGATAGACAATAGAATGGGAGACATGTTGGAGGGGAAACAAAAGATCAGCGAAGGACAAGCTGGATTTAGACCAGATCGTAGTTGTGTAGACCATGTATATACGTTGAGTAAAATCATCCAAGGTAGGAAAGACGCCGGGCGTACGACATACTGTTTCTTCCTCGATATACAAAAAGCCTACGACACCGTATGGCGCAATGGATTGTGGAAAAAGATGTGGGACATCGGCATCCGGGGGAAAATGTGGAGGATGTTGAAAAAGATGACAGAATGCACAAGAAGTGCGGTGATGTTGGATGGGGAAATTTCGAAGTACGTGGATATACTCCAAGGAGTCGCACAGGGCTGTACGATGTCACCCACTCTTTTTAAGATTTACATCAACGATTTGATAAGGGCGGTTGAAGCAGTAAGACAGGGAGTCCAAGTAGAGGGAAAGAGTGTGTCCGGACTGATGTTTGCAGATGATTTCGTGGGGGTATCCGAAACACCAGAAGGGTTGCAAGAACAAATAGATGCGGCGGTAGGATACACCCGAAAATGGAGACTGTCGGCGAACGAAGGAAAATGCGCAGTAGTGGTCTGTAACGAAGATAAGAAAAATCCCGTAGAATTCAAATGGAAATGGGGGGAGGAAGAACTACCGGTAGTAGACAAGTATACGTACCTGGGAGTAGAGATTTCGAAGGAGTGCTCATGGGACGCACACATAGCGAAAGTGATTGGGAAGGGTAAAGCTCAGATAGGCAAGATGGACGAGATCCTTACGGACCCACACCTAGACACTAGGATTAAGAGGTGTATTCTCTTGAATGTGATTGTACCTAAGCTAGAGTATGCAGGAGAGGTATGGGAAGGTAACGAAAAGGCCGTCAAGCAGCTGGAAACGGTGCAGATGGCAGCGGCCAAGAAAATACTAGGATGTTCAAGTACAACGAGCAACACTGTATTGATGAGCAGAATTGGGAATGTACTCTCTTAAAACAAAGAGAGACATGCAGAAGTTGAATTGGCAGTACAAGGTAAGTAGAATGTCGGACGATAGACTACCAGCCATGGTTGACGAGGCAGCTTGGGGAAAAGCGACTCCAGGGAAAGAAGGGGAATCAGATGGGACAAGGGTGGTAGAGAAGGTTTGGAAGGAGATAGGAGACGAGGAGGAGACGTTGGACACGGAAGGGTTCGGGGGGTTCAAGACGAAAGTCAAGGAGATGCTAGAGAGTAGGGAGGAGGCAACCCTTCGGAAGAAGGTACGAAGCGAAGACCACTTGGAGATATACGGGAAGTTGAAAGAAGGGATAGGGATGAAGAAGTACATGGACGGCCCCATGGACTATGCGAAAAAGCTGAAATTGCAATTTCGAGTAGGCGATCTGGACTTGCCAGAACGGAGGAAGAGATATACCAGCCGTAGGAGAGAGGAAGAGGAGGATAGACACACATGTCCATGTGGCAAATCGGAGGAGAGTAGACCCCACATAGTTGGGGAGTGTGAGTTGTACAGGAAGGAAAGAGAGGATCTCGAGGAGGAAATGAGACAGAGAGGGTGTGACATGGACAAGTTTGGTAAATTAGACAACAGCGAAAAAACGATCGCGATAATTGGGGATAGATGGTGGGCACAAGAGGCTCTAGAGGACGGGGATAAGTTGTGCAAGAAATTTTTATGGAGTTTGTGGCAGAAACGTAAAGAGCTCCCAAATGTTGGTGGTGTCTCTAGTAGGTGTAGGAACGGTGCTCCGTCTTGAAAGGGACGCGTGGTCAATGGTCAAATGACTAC